AGCAAAATGAATATTTTCAAACTTACACAGTAAACAAACACTGCCATGTAACACAGGTTTTGTCCAGCTCATCTTAACCAAGGTGCATCTCCCTTTCCTTGTCAGCAGGCTCAGTCCTGAACACGCACACACTGCCATGGAAATGAGAAGATTTCAGTTCTGTTACACTCCAAAAATCCTTAGAAATATTACAGGTAACCATGAGCAAGTCCAGCAGGATTACCACAGAAGTTCCATAATAGGAAATAAAATAAAAGCTCCCCCCAACAATGGAATTGCTGGTTCACCACCAGCCACTGACTGCACTTCTACTTCAGTGGAACAAAACTAATTTTCCTTTTCTTCTCTTTATTAAAACAGGTTGTTATCAGTATTACTGTGCTACTAGAGGAAGTCAAATTACAGGGGTTTGCTTGGTTTTACTGTACCTAATACATCTAAACAATGAACTGATCAATAGATCGTGCTGTGGTTTTCTTCCAAATGCAAAATATTGCAGCCCACTGTTTTTCCATCACAGACATGACATCCTTCTTTGCTGAAGCCTCCCTGAGAGCCACCACGACTTGCAGGTGCTGTACAATTAGCTCAGAGACCTTCAGGGTAGTGCTGGTCAGCCCAGCCTCAGGTACCACCAACCCCAGGGACTTCATCTGAGTTTTGGAATCTCCTGCTGTGCTTTCTATTCAGTACAGATCCCCCAACCAACCAGTTCTGGGCTTTGCTTCTCAAATTACTCCAATAACCACATATGGGAGAATTAAGAGCCAAGCCAAGAGATAGAAAAGGGATAATGATAGAACAAAAGGATAAAAGGAAAGTATTGAGGAAAATCAAGACAAAATACAGTGATTTAACCCACATTATAATGCAATATCTGAAGAATAAAATTCTTAAGAAAAATTCCTGAGGACAGGAGGCAGTTGAGGCTGCTGGTCTTTGAATTCTAATGTGCCAAGACAGCTCTTTAATCTCTCAGCCTATCTATAGTAACATTCTGCAGTTCTACAGAGCTAAGCTATTTTTTCCTTTCCTCTCACTGTTCTTCCCATGCTATCTAATGCTAATGTGCAAAGCAAGTAATTGACTTGCAGCAAAAATCCAGTTTTTCTGTTATTCTGATTCCCTGCCTGTCCTTTCCAGGGATCTCAGTGAGGTTTGCCAGTGCAGGGTCAAACACTCTGCACCATCCTGACCCCTGTCCCTGGAGGCCTCCAAAAGCAGAGGAAAGCACAAGAATGATTTCAGCTGGATCTTCACACAGGCCTGTGTGTTGTGTCAGAACAGATGCTGCCCCAGCCTCAACAAAAGCTGTGTTAGAAAATGCAGTGTGGTATGGGAATGGATGCATTCCCTGATGAACCAGATTCTGCATGAAGTGCTGTTTAATGCAGGTAACCAGGCAGGAGTTACAGGAAACTGGAACAACCTCTCTGTATTCACAGTAAAAGGAAAAGAAAATGTCTTGAAATTACCTGATACTGCTAAGATCATACAGCAACTCATTCACTTACCAGAACTGATCTGGCCAATACAATTCCTATTTTCTGGCCCTTCCCTGTGAACAGAATGTGAACACAATTCCAGCTCAAGTCCCCATGGTCTTTAGCTCTTATAGTGTTTCAGTGTTCTTTGCTATTAAATTCTGAACATTTCTGTGAAAACCCAGGAGATCCCCAATCCTGCAGAATTCCAGCAGACTGCATTTACACTGGAGATGTGCTTGTTGGTCCCAAACAGAGGAGTTACAGTCCCTAAAGCTGTACAATTGGCATCTTCCTCACAGGCACATCTCATGCTTATTTGGAGCTACAAAGTCTTGCTCCAAACCATGCAATTATAAGTAAACAAATCATCACAAAATTATTTTGTCCCATTATGTCTTCCCTCTCCTCTGAAGGCCTTTATTAAAAGGAAAGCAAAGCCAGGTCTCAATATTTAGTACTGAGTGCACTTTGAGAAACTTTAGTAACCAAATCTGTCAGAGAGAAGATGGATCATTATGTACAAAATTACACAGCTCATCACTCATCTCAGCCTCAAAATGGAAGGGAGGGGCAGGAATTTCCATCACCTAAGTCACTTCAAAGCAGTCCCCAGCATCATTTTCACACTCAAACGATGCCATACCTCCAATAACGGTATAATATGACTTATTCTGTGCCTCAGCAGCGACACAAACATCAGTTAAAGCACATTCCCAGCAGCCAGTGGTTTTTTCAGGTTGGAAGGCATTTAGAATTCGCATGCCTGCATTACCCTTTCCTTCTATTCATTATTGTCCCATTTCCAAGATCTTATTTCCACAAATATCTTCATGCACCTTGCTGACTTTCCCTCATTTCCATCTTCCTTCCTGATGGCACATCTAGGAATTCATGCATAGAGCTGGTCGTCCAGATGATGACAGAATCATTTCTTCAAAAATAAACATAAGAACTCTGCCTCCTAAGGTTATTACTTTTATTGGTTCTTATTTGAAAGAAAACAGAGAGAAAAGGGGAATGCAAAAAAAATTCACCATTGTGCTGGTGAGAACTGTGGCAGTAAAATGTACAGAGTAAAAAGCAAATGGAGACAGGAGGCTGTTTAAAAAGAGGTACCTGTACAGCAGGTATTTATTAAAACATTAACCTTTTCTGAGAGGGTCATTAGGGGAAGGGAGTATGTTTCCTATATACAGCCCTGAATATCAAGCTTGGGAAAAGGAGTCTTTATCATGAAAAACTGCAGGGAGTTTAAAATACATCCACATAAAAGAATTTATAATCAGGTAATTCCTCCGTATAAGCAGTTCTGATAAAGCAACTTATCTTCACTTCATCAGCTGATAATCCTTGTGTCTCAAGGGCTAGCTTTCTTAAAATGAAAATTGGATAGAATTCCCTGTTGAGAAATGAATCTATATCCAATAAGCACCATCCTTTTGTACTAATTTAAATCATCAAGCATACAAATTCTTGAATTTCATGTCCTAACTACAGAAATTATTTGTTTCCTTGGAGAGCACACTTCTACACTTCTATGTATTCAGTGTGATGCATTTAATGTTTCTCACATCATGCTTATTTACACCCCAGAAACTGTTTAAATGATTATGCTTTTCCTTCTTTTCCATCTCTGCATCAGCCATGAATACTGAACTGTAAAATCACCTTTTGGGACCTTAATCTGTTGCCAAGGATACTGGGGATATAATTATGATTTTATTGTAGACTTACTGAAAGACTTCTCTTTGTTGCAAGTGCAATTCAGTCTCATCCAGTGTTAATTGCAGCTCCACACCCCCTTTCATCCTGCTATTGTGGAGTGCTAGGAAAATTATACACCAACACTCCTGAGACTCTGATTCTGGGTCTGTTCCATGGACTGGGAACCTGCAGCACAAAGGAATGACTTCCTGAAGGTGAAAACTTCTTCTGGAAATCAAACCAAGTGCCACCCTCATGGGGGCTGATAAAGTGCACACACACCTGGCCAAAGGCTGCTGCCACTGCCAGTGCCGGCTCTGGGTGTGCCCAGGAATGCAACTGGGCAAAATCTCCCTGCATTGCCCAGTGCGAGCCATGGTTTTACCAAACTCCACCCCAACACTGGTGTTGTCACTGCTCACGTGCAGTGGGACCTCCCTGGCCAAAGCTGCCAGCTCCCAGGAGGAAACATCAATTCATTTCCTGAGGTTACCCTTCATAGAGCACAGAACTTGAAGGAAAGCTGAGCCAATTAATTGTTGCAATTGTAATGATAAAAAGCAATGGTATGGGAGGGCTGCTGTGAGGTGTTCCCCCTTGTTTATTTGGGGTTTGTCTTTTTTTACTAATTTTCCAATATTTTCATGGAGTAATAGACTATTCCGCTTCCTACAGCTCTGAAGCTTGGTACAAGTCCTGTGGATTCATTCTTATCCCCACTCTTATCTTTAAAACAAAAGAACCCAAATAGAATGGGGAGAAAATCTAAAAATAAGGAAAAAAACCATATATCTACTAAAGGTGCAATTCAACCCAAGCACATCCATCAAAAAGATGAAAACCATCACACAAGGTGAAGAAAAAAAGTACTAAAGGGCTCAAACATCTTGGAGAATTTGAAATTTCCAAAATTTAGACCCTAAATTTACTGCTTCAGGGCTTTCCTGTCACAGCTGAGGAGCACATCTTCTGCAGCTGGCCTACAGGCAGGTCCAGCTCGCAGGTGGCAGCAGCTCAGGGGCACCAGGACATTTCTGTGCACATTTCAAGCTGTATCCATCCTGCTCCCTGCAGTTCCAGCAGCTCAGGGGCACCAGGACGTTTCTGTGCACATTTTAATCTGTGTCCGTCCTGCTCCCTGCAGTTCCAGCAGCTCAGGGGCCCCAGGACATTTCTGTGCCACATTTCAATCTGTGTCCATCCTGCTCCCTGCAGTTCCACCCTCCTGGTGGCCCTGACTGATGTGCATCCAGCAGGGCTGGAAGGTGGATTATGGAACAGCTCTAAGCTCTCATGAACTGCCTCCAAAAATGCTCCTCAGTCAACTCAGCCATGTTTTCCATGTGAACCTCGAAAAAATTAGTACTTTCAGATAACACCCACACATAACAACAACCAAGCCTTTACAAACATCATTTTTAATGTATTTCACTGCTGAAACTGAGCCTTTTTCACTTTCATGCTGTGAAAAGTTTAAGGTGTCATCAGTGCAGCACCCCTACCTAAGAACAAAAAAATACCAAGTAGCCTACTAATTTCGGCCAAAAAAGCCACTAAAAAGCTGGAAGAAGAAAAATTCGTTGCTTGTTTCACAGTAAGATTTCCTCTCTGTGTGGCCGGCAGAGGGAAGCATCGCATTCCCAAACGTGGCACAGGGATGCAGCAGCACAGTCTGAACGTTTCCTGGTTGAACTCCAATAAACTTCCCCGAACACTCCCTAAAGCCCCGAGTGCCTCGCACAGGACAGAGATGGCACAAACACCGCAGGGAGGTGCTGGAAATACCAAAGCAAGCTGCACTTCCCTCACCAGGGGAGGTCTGGATCCACATCAGGCAACATCTGTGAGGGGCAGCTGGATTTTGGCATGGATGTTCTGTTCAGAGCCAGAGTTTGGTTGGTGCTTCTTCATGTTTTCCTTTAGAAGTTCTAGAAGATCACAGTAGTAGTTAGAAGCATTTGAGGAAGCAAATCCCTAGCTATTCTATAGTTTCCTGTTTTCATCTTAATTGTATTCCAAGTTGAAGGTACAGAAATTCCTTTAAAATTAATTTAAGCAGGGAATTCTGCTTAGGAACCACAGGAAGATGAGAACTATTAGAAGGTGCCCTTAACAAAACATTTGTTTTCTAAAACAAGACCTGATATTTAACACTAAAAGAACACTATTGTCATGGTTCTCTCAGATTTGTGGAAATCCTTTCTGCTCCTAGCCTATTGATTTTTGGCTCCTTCACAAGGCCAAACCTTGAAGGGAGGCCCTCACACAAATTTAAAAAAAACCAAATTCTATAGTTTCCTGTTTTCATCTTAATTGTATTCCAAGTTGAAGGTACAGAAATTCCTTTAAAATTAATTTAAGCAGGGAATTCTGCTTAGGAACCACAGGAAGATGAGAACTATTAGAAGGTGCCCTTAACAAAACATTTGTTTTCTAAAACAAGACCTGATATTTAACACTAAAAGAACACTATTGTCATGGTTCTCCCAGATTTGTGGAAATCCTTTCTGCTCCTAGCCTATTGATTTTTGGCTCCTTCACAAGGCCAAACCTTGAAGGGAGGCCCTCACACAAATTTAAAAAAAAAACAAAACAAAACAGATTTCAGCAGTAAAAAGCCTCTTGTAATCCATCATGCCTCCTAATTTTTGGTTTGCATTCATTCCTCTAATTAACATGAGTACTCTCTGCAGCGTCTTGTTTGGGAACACTGGAAAAAGCTGAAACAATTTTAGCAATAATCCTTCTTCTCATCAACCTACTCCCCTGTTTCAGTTCTTTTCCTTTCAAATAAAGCAGTGCCAATTCTACCACTTGGAATAGAAAAAACACTGCAATAGCCTCCTTTAGCAGGGCTCAAAACCAGAAGGGGACACCAAGTGATCTGCAATTTTCTCTCACCTTATTTCTGGGCAGCTTCACCTCTCAGCCAGGTGACTCCTTTACAGCTCCTTTATTACTCTGCTAATGGACAGGCTCCAAACAGCCCCTTTGGGGGCACAGCTTGCTGCAAACCTTCAATAACAAGCCCTGAATCACATTTCAGTGACATTACAGGTTCAAATGTAATTCTGGTTTGGATTGGGACAGGCATTCTCTGCTGAGCATGGCCTCTCCAAGCTCAAATTGCTTCTGCTACATGTGGAAGCTTAATTGGTTATTAAATGCCCCCCATATTATTTGAGAGTTTGAAATGCTTTGTCCCAATGACCTCTCCTCCCACAGTTATTGCTGCCAGTCTGCAGTCACTTGTTAACTTATATCAGACAAAGAAAAACTGGCTTTAAATTAATAAAGCCCTAGCCTTCAGGATGGAGAATTTATTACTAGTGTTTAAAATTGTATATCTGAAGTAATTTCATAAGTAGTCCTCAGAAAACTTTGATTAGCAGAACTTGAGGCAGAGAGAGCCCTGATTAAGGGGGATTGAGTCCTTCCAGTCCTTTCTCTGGAACAGCTCAAATACAATTCTGGACTCTTCCCTCCATTCAAATCAGTCACTGGCTTGCAATATTTTCAACAATTACAATTTCCAGCTGTGCACAATCATAAACGTATTTTTATACCGAATATACAGTTTTATAATACCTCTCATAAATTATTTTTGCAGCTTTTTCCTCTAGTTCCACACTCCTGGATGTTTCCATACAATGCCTGGTTTCCTGTCCCATCATCACTTCCCATCTGACAAAGCTCCAGAGGGCATAAATCACAATGCAATCCATGAATCAGTGCTAACAGCAATGTCCTTTCTGCAGGCTCAGGAAGCACTGCGGTGGTTTGATGTTCCTTATATCCATAACAGAACACCAAGGCATGCAGAAATATAGGAATTACACACGTGGGAATAAACAGAAATCATCCCCTTTGTTATAGAATTTTATATTCCTGAAAAGTTTAGATACTTCCACCATCTGGATTTTAAAACTGTGCCAAACTCAGGGTCAGACATGACACGATGATAAACTACATTATTTCATGCAAAGTTCCCATTTCATGCTGTTCTCTCTCTCTGTGCAGCTCTGTGCTCCAGAGGGCTCAGCTGCCCTGCAGGAACACTGGTTTCTCTTACAGTCTGGTTTTGAAGTAAAGTTGATTCAATTTGAACTTTTTCCATGGCCATGACACACCCCAGTGCCAGGACCAGGGAATTTCCATGTCCAGGATTCACTCTCTCCCCATAACCAGCATTTCTGTGATTTCACACTGTCACCTCTGCTTTCTAGGACTCTGATGCACTCAAGTTTCAGAGGAGACTATCTAAGCACAGATCAAGACTTTTACTTTATCCCTAGGCACTACCAAACAAAGAATGAAGGGGAATTATGGAATAGCACAACTGAGGGGGACTAAAGATGAGAAAGACTCAACAGATCCACTTCTGGTTTTAACTTAAGTCTTGCTCCTGCTCCCTGCCTAAATTATAAATTCAAACACAACAGCACTACATTGTGGAAGAATTTCTCAAGGACTTCAAATGCAAAGAAAGAGGAACAGTATGAGAGGAAATTCAGCTGGTGACAAGGACACTGTCTGCCTGTCCCCACTGGTCTGTGCTTCCAACTGGTTTCAGCACTGCAGGAACATTCTTCTTACTCATGGGCCTGTTTCCAAAACTGCCAGCTTAGGAAGGTGCAGAACCTGGCCATTGGCTTGTACTGGTAAAGGTCAAAACCTGAATTTCTTCAACAGCAATCAGTGGAGGATAAATCATGTGGGTAAATCATGAACATCTCCTGCTCTTCAAAACAAAGCTGCTCTGGTTACCCACAGGTACCTCCCCCTTCAGAGAGCCACAGCCTCTCCAAATTCTATGTCCTGTCTACAAGTTAAACACAGATTTTATCTGCAATGACTTGGTGCTCTCCAAGTGTCAGATCATTTCTAGAAAGCTTTTATTGCAGTTTCAGCTCAGTCTTCACTTACCTAGTTGACTTTTCAAATAACTAAAGATGCAATACTGTCCTGTACCATTAATTTGTGCCTTGTTTATATTACGGTTTTAGGGGAAAAAAAAAAAGTTTATCACTTAATTACATTATGCCACTATTAGTGAAAGCATTTGGTGCTTTTCAGCATCATTATGAAAAGGCAAGTTCATTTCAAATTGTGTTTTACAGAATTACCAGAGTACAGTGGTGGTGACCCATTTCCCTTTAATGATTATTTCCAGAGCAACCAGCAACAACATTAAATACAACTAAAAAGTCCGTCATGCAACAAAGCTGAGTGGAAATAATTAGCAAAGACTCAGCTATGAATTGGTTTTCTCCTGGATAAAATTAAAATAATAGTGCTGTAGCCTCCAACTCTTGTGAAATCTCCAGGCAAAACCAGAGAACTTCAGAGACACAGAGCAAGCTGAGGTGGGGGAAAGCTTTGGTTTGCTTTTCAGGAGCCTATTTAAAAGTGTTCATAAGAGATAACCAGAGAAAAGAGAGTCCCTGGTTTACTGAGAAAAAATGTAATTGTATGTAGAAAATCTGCTTCAGAGAGCAGCAGAGAGAATGATGAAGATCAGATCACCTTCATCACTCAGTGTGACATGTTCCCACTGCTTATTTACTGTTCCACAAGTCACTTGGCAGGGAAAACAAAGTCATCTTTAATTATTTAGAGAACACCAATATAAGCAGATGACAGAGGACAGTTCAAGCCTTCCCCAGTTCATGTTACAAATGCTGTGCTGATTCTGACAAAAGGTTCTGATAGAAAGCCAGAGGCTTTCTTCACCAAGTTCCTGAACCTGTTATACATACTTCCTCTCTTTTTTCCACCCCCATTTAAACCCAATTTCCCCCAGAGATCTCAAAAGACAGCCTTTAAAACCTCTCTGAAGATGGGTGGCAATGTAGAGGAGAGCTCCATGGAACACTCTTTATTGAAACAGCAGAAATCATCCCTTATACACCAGAGAGCCTGTGGGGGAAAGAGGAAAGCACCTCATCTGCTGGAATGATTTCAGAGTTTACACCTTACATAGGAGAATTTGAGCAAAACACTTAGAGGATTCAGGCTTCATGCACTCCTCTGTTCATCATATTAATTGTCCTTTTACAGCCTTGGTTTTGTTTTTATTCTTATGGTCTTTCATAACTCCCAAAGCATGAGCTATTTGAATCTCCACTTATTTATATTTGAATATCTGCAATCCCAGCTTGAAGAAATCAAGGCGAGTTCTGCAATATTTTCCAAGTATCCTAACAAACACCTGCAATGCTACAAATCCAAATAAGAACTTCAGGTGTGTGCAGATTGGATTGCTAAAACACAACTGGATTTTCACAACCACGTTTGGTTGGAAGCTTTCTGCCTACTCATATTCCATTCACCTTAAATACTTTAAAAGAGGGTCCCTATTTTCAGAAGAGGCTGAAATCTGCTTAGATATGTGGAATGGAAGGTGCATGACTCAAAATAAGAAACAAAACCCCTTATCTGGTGACCCAGATCAACTCTGTTAGCAGGTGGGAGATCCCATTGCTGCCATGAACATCTGAGTTATTCACTTGATACACTTATTTGTAATATAAATAATCCTGTGCAGTTAAGTACTCAGCTTTACAGTATCTCATAATCTTGTTGTACTTACACGGAGTAAGTATCCATTACCACTTGGAACACTCATTTAGCTGCTCAACTGACTGCTTAATGAGGTCTGCAAAGTAAAAGCCTTATCTGCAGAAAGCCAGTGTAGGAAGAGGCATGTATGCAGTCCTTTCTCCAAAGCAAAGCAAAGTATTTGTTCAGACTTAGTGTGAAAAGGAATTAAAGAGAGTGCTCAGAAAAATAGAAATGAAATAACAGATGAAATACATATGTAGTATTCTCTACTAATGAAAGCAGTGTTTTTTCCCACTCACTGAATACTGTATTGTTAGAGTTTTGTCTCTATAAATATCATCAGACTTTCAAAATTTCTCTTAGG